CTTGACTTCACCGTCCTAACAGAGTTCAGTGTGGATTTTTTCATTACTGTAATTGCCAGATAACACTGAATAAATCATATTTGTAGAAGTGTTCATATTTCTGAACAGCACAGATCGATCGTCATTTACTTATCTAAGAAGTCCAAGTCACCAGAGAATTTTAGTCTCTCTCTGAGGGGATCTCTATTCTGTTCTGGTGCTGGGACTCCTGAGTAGAAGATGTGTACTGCCAACTAGAAGCAGTGAACACACAAGAGCCTCAGAACTATGAGGAGTCAGCCTCAGTCTTGACCTTGACCACCAACAGCTTCCAGTAGAACCCTGGAGGCTGCAAAGGCCTTAATTCTCACCCTCAGTATATGGATGATCCAGCTACATATCTAGCCCTAAACACCTTAGCTGTTTGCTTACCAGGCCTGGGAAAGAAGCCCACTTCTCAGTAGGAAGCCTGTTTACCTTGGATGTGAAGGAGACAGACTTCTGCATTTTACTTGAATAGCCTAGAGGCTTAACCTGTCTGAGTATATTTGGTCTGGAGTGAGCCAGCAAGCTGCTGAGTACCCAAACAAGATGGGGTTTAAGATGTCTGTGATCAAGAGAAATCTCCCTTTTGGCCAACAGCTTCCATCAATAGCTCCTTCTCTCTATTTCTCTAAAAGGGAAAAACTGATTTTACTGAGAAGCATCTAAGCTAATTTTGCTGCTAAGATAAAACAGCTGAGTTTAAAAGATCCGTAAGTAGTAAATATGCAGACTCAGTCCAAATCATCTCAAGGAATTTTATGGCGAGCTTATCAGTATGAGTCTCAGATGGACAGAAGCAGCAGCAGAGTTAAGAACAGGCCTACTGGAGACTTGGGTAACTCCTTCTCTTGAATTCAAATGATACACAAACCTTCCCTACAAGTTATTCTTGCTTGAAATCAAAGTACAGGTGAGGATTTAGCTGCAAGTGTCAACTAAAAAAGGTTAAACCTCTAGTGGCCGCCAGCCAAAGATAAAATACTGGACAGAGTGGGAAGAAACAGGAAAAGAGCGAGAGGTCCCTCTGGTGGACAGTTGTAGGTGGGCACTCAGAAATCCACTCAGAATTCTTGCTGTTGTTCAAACTGCCTGGCAGGCCTTCAGGATCTTTTCCGTTAATATCTAATTACTGAGTACAGCCCTGCAAATAATTCACTGCTGAGAAAATTAGATCTTTCAACATGAACCAGGGACAAAAAAGAATTAGTGTCGTCCCAACTCCAGGAGGGTCATTTTCTTAGTGATCTAACAGCAATTATTAGAAAAAGTACTCTACACATGATGGAGATATTGTACAAGGGCAGGAGAACCAAGTCCTCTGGTTAACCTAAATTTGAGATGGTTACACCACAGGTAATTAAGTATTTGTTGTCATTAGGAACTTTGGTATATATGATGGCAGGAATTTTTTTAGGTCTCATTCCTATGTTAGGGAAAAAATTGTCCAGATATCCCCCCAACCCCCAGGAAAGTACTGTACAATAAAATCCTGCTTTTTTTCTTTCCTTCAGTACCAGGGTTTGAACTCAGGGTCTACACCTTGAGTCACTCCACCGGCCCTTTTTTGTGATGGATTTTTTAAAGATAGGGTCTCATAAACTATTTGTCCAGGCTGGCTTTGAACCACAAAACTCCTGATCTCTGCCTCCTGAGTAGGAGGCAGAGGTAGGATTACAGGTATGAGCCACTGGCGCAGTGTCTGCTGCTTCTTAAGGCTCTTCCCCAGCTAGCTACAAGCATTGGTATCACACATTCTGGCTTCAGTTTCAAGGCATTAATTCTTTTAGCTATGGCAATTTCAGTGAACAAAAACTACAGCTGGCTGATAAGACTTGTTTTTTCTTTGAGACAGTTCTCACTATATAGCAAGAATGCTCTGTCTTCCTGCTTCAGCCTCCTGAGTGCTGGGATTACAGACATGAACCACAACCCTTAGCCTGGCAAAGCTCTCTGAATTCAAAGAGCAGCTACTTGCCCTGGTGGGTGAGGGCACATGCATTCATCTCTCAGTCCCTGATCAAGGGCCATCGTCTTAAGGATACAGGTGTCAGTTCCTTGGGCATCCAGGCTGGGTTGTGCTTTTTTTTTTCCCCCTTTTTGACATGCTGGGTATCAAACACAGGGCTGTGCACATGCTAGGCAAGCACTCGACCACTGAGCTACACCCCCACCCCATCCAGGCTGCTGCTTTCATGGTCTACTCCTTCCACTGGGCTAACACTGCTCAGGCTCCAAACACAAGTTTTGCAAAGAGCGGTGATAAAACTCAACAATCACCATTTTTGCCTCTGTTTAAAACACACAGGCAGGTCCACTGCCTACAGTGTCCATTCTTTTGGTAGCACTTTTTGAATACAGGACTGGCTGGGCTGTAATCGGCTTCCAGGCCTCTTACTCACTGGATTTTTTTATTGGAGGACCTCTGGCACGCAGCACAGATCCTGCTCAAGAGGCTCTGCATAAAAGTTTACTAAATGAACGGGGCAGTAACAAAACTGTCCCTCTCCTTTTTCCTACTCTATACATCCCAAGAGCTTATGAGCTGAAGGAATCAGGGGAAAGGTGGGCTACAGTAAATGTAACATTTCTCTATATGTAAGGACACTGGGAAGTCAGATTTACTGATGTCCTTTCAATAATTACCACGCAACAGAAAATAAGAAGTGCCACAATAAAAATACAGTTTTCAAAGAACAGAAGTTTATATGCATAGATATCCACATACTTCATTTGAGAACCTCAAAGCTATTTCTCTGTTATAGGTAGACACAAAATGCCTGAAAAGATACAACAAAACAAACAATACGAATTTAAAGCACTTTTACAAAAATAAAAATATTCAGAAATGAAAACTACAGAGTTATGTTTGCAAACATTAATTTTACTTTGAATCCGTCTGATATTAAAACTTAATAGTTTATCAAAATTTGTCTTTGATACATGTTGGAATTACAGTAAACAAAACTGATGGAATTCTAATCAATAGCCAATAGCAAAAAGAATTATAATTAAAATCCATATGATCTTCAGCTAAGTACTGTTGATGTAACTTTCTGTTTATTTAAACTTTTATTTTAGGGAACAAAATTGACTTATCTCTATTTCAAGAAAGAGAATGAATAAACGTGTATTTAATTTTCAATTTCAACTTTGAAAACTTAACGCTCTATGTATTTCTACTGTTCCGAAACTACTTTTGATTCACTGCTAACTTTTAAAACATCTTAAAACAATCAATGTAACTTAAGGTCGCTTTCGTATTCAGAATGCTCCTATTTTTCATTTTACACCAAAGCAGTAAGGCAAGAAAGCAGTTCCTTTCCCAAATCAGACACAGAAATATCTGTCCCCTTTAAATTCCAGGACTACTGAGCCACTACAAATTATCCTATCAGTAGAAAATTAAGGCTTCTGTGATTTTCCTTTATACTTAAACCATAAAGTAAGATTAGCAGTGTTACTGATTGCAAATGTTGAACTGATAAAGCATCTGGGCTTAAATCACAGGATGTAAACATCACCATTTCTGTCTATTCCTACAACACAGTTTTCATAATTACCTTCTGTGAGTTTTAGATAAAGTCAGAAAACACTACACAAAGTTGAAAGTATACACAACTCTACTACAAGGAGATACATGCTTGAGGTGTCAAGAGTAAATTTCCTGTGTCTGATAAATCTTGGTGCACTCTGACCCCACCTGGCAAACAGATCTGTGGAGTCATGCCAGACAGCATGGCACAATGTATGTGGGGTAGGAGGGGGCTTTCAGTATTCCAAAGGACCTGGGCCTCTACTGCCAAAGGCAAGATGCTGTGTGGCTTTCTAAGAACCTCTAGGCACCAACTAGAGTATATCCTGTTTGCTATAACATTCTTTTTTGGAAGGCAAGCCTTTCTAGGTATGTGAAAGAGAAAATTCACATTACCTAACCTACAGAAGATTTCCTAAAATCATCTAGAATGAATGTGAACCAGGCTTTGCAGCAATAGCACCATATTAGCCTGAAATGAGGTAAAGATAAAACTCTTTGATAGCCTTGGGTAAAAACAGCTGTAGCCAATCTTGCCTGGGGTGCTTACAGCAGCATTCTTTCTGATCTTTAGAGTAAGGTGTATGAAGAACAATTTGTTTCCAAGTATAACACCCAATATAAATCAAAACTGATCAATTACAAAGCTCGTTATCTAATAGCAGGAAAAATATAACAAAACAGAACTCTTAATTTTTAATTCAAAGTATGTCATTACTGGTTGATGAAGTCAAGGATCCTGATAAAACACACTAGGCAAGTATCACAAGGGCGGTTTATCAGATGGGAATGCCCAGAAATTTCATTTTCAGAGCATGGTCAGGTTTATTCTAGATCTGTCTAAATGGGGGCAAATGTCCCCTTCTTGTTACATATTCCAAAACAGGTGAGTAGCCTTCCTCTTTCCCAACTATTTTAAATTGGGTAGACAAACTTCTCAGCAATGTACATTTATCATTTATATAACATAATACAAAGGGAAGACTTTAAACTGTTAAAAATTTAAAGGGGCAAAATTAAAATGTTTCAGCAAATGAAAACAGAGTTCTGTTTAGAGAGAAGTGGACAAAAAAAAGAGGCAATTCTCTAATAAGAAAAGACTAAAAGAAGCACTTTTCAGAGAGCTGAGGATGTGGCTCAGGGGCAGAGTGCAGAGTACATGCATGCTTCTTAGCAGGCATGAGGCCCCTAAGGGCTTGATTCCCAGCACCGGAAAAAAAAAAAGAAAAAAAAAACCCTCTAATTTAGTTCCTTTAAGGTGAAATAATAATAAAGGACTTAAAGAAAAAATCTTAAATTGCTTTTCCCCAGTCTCTTTAACATGTGGGAGAAATAAGAAATCTTAGAATTTTTTTTGAATGTCACAAAACTAAATTTTCAGAGAAATACAATTACCATTATTTATCAGAAAAAATATAACCTTTTAGGACACTGCTGGCCTCTGTGATCAGATGGAAGTTTATCACTCTATGCAACCAAGAGGCTTCAAACACGCTCAGCAGGATTTTCATTTGACTTTCTTGAGACTCAGATGAAATATGAGTAACTTTCCCTGAAGCCAATAGAAACATTTTAGGGAAAGAGTTTAAGGTTTGTACTTAAGCTAAAAATTCAGCTGGATACTGAAGACCATCTTCAGAAAACTCAAGTAAACAGTCATCCTCTTTTATAAATCTGCTGGTGCTAACTGCACCTAAGTGGTAAAATACCTGGAGGTATAGCTGAGCTATGTTTGCAAGAATGCTAATTAGTATATGAGGTCTTTCAGTTCTGTGTCAGTCAGTTCATTCACTTCCATGATCTTCTCTAAATGTTCCATGTACCGGCCATGGTCCTGCAGGAAGTGAGGGACCCTCATGTTTTCAGTAACTGCCAATCCCTTTAAGCGATCCACATCTTCATAAGAAACCTGAAAAAAGGAGAAATTTTAAAACACAATAAGAAGTTACATTTTTTTGGTTGTTGTGCACTGTGTTTCTCCACAGCATTTTTATTCTCTGCGCGCACACACACACACGCACACAATTTGTTCTTTTTTCTGTTCTTTTCAGGCAATCTCACTATGTAGCTCAGGCTGGCCTCAAACTCACTTTGTAGCCAAAGCTGGCCTTGAATTCTTAATCTTCTTGCCTCAGTCTGCCTCCTGAATGCTTGGTTCACTGTAAATAGTGGACAATATTCTTCCAGGTTTGGTAGGAAAGGCTTTTTGAAAAGAAATAATGCTCATATTCTATTCCTATTAGTTTTTTAAAAGTTTTTATTATCAAAATTATTTACTTAGTATTTACACTCCTATATGTAATGAAAGTAGATTTGTTGCTATTGATATGGTTTAATTCCTAAACTATTCTGAGTTAACGACAGGAGGGAATAAATACATACAGGCATACATCATCTTGTGATGCTTTGCAAATACTGTGTTTTTTATGCTGAGCAAGTCTATTGGTGACATTTTTGAAATAATATGCTTATTTTGTGTCTCTGTGCCACATTTTTGTCTTTTCTTACAATAGTTCAACTTTGTGTTATTACTGTATTTGTCATTGGTGATCTGTCTTCAGTGATCTTTGATGTTACTATTGTAATTATTTAGGGAGTCCACAAACTGTGTTCATGTAAGATGGTAAATTTATCTGTTGTTCCCCCATCTCTCGCTCTTCCTATTCCCTGATCAATTCCAATTAATTAGGCCAATTAATAATTTACAATGGCCTCTGAGTATTTAAGTGAAAAGAAGACTTAAAGGTCTCTCACTGTAAACCAGAACTAGAAATGATTAAGAATAGTGAAAAAAAGCATGTCAAAAGGCAAGCTAAACCAAAAGCTGGGTCTTTTGTGCCTAACAGCTAAGTCATGAATGAAACTTCTAGAAAGAACTGAAAATGCTAGTCCAATGAACTCATGAACAATAAAAAAATCAAACAGCCTAACTGTTGATCTGGTAAACATTTTAGTGGCCTGGACAGAAGATCAAAATAGCCACAACATTCCCATAAGCCAAAGTCTAACCCAGAGCAAGGCCCTAACTCTCCAATTCTGTGAAGGCTAAGAGAGGTGAAAAAGCTGCAGAAGAAAAGTTTGAAGCCAGCAGAGGTGGTTCATGATGTTTAAGAAACAATCTCTATAACATAAAAGTACAGGTAAAGCAGCAAGTACTGATGCAGAATCCACAGGAAGTTATCCAGCAGATCTAGCTAGGATAACTGATGAAGGCGGCTACACTGAACAATAGATTTCAATGAGGACAATACAGCCTTACAGTAGGAGAAGATGCCACCTTGGACTTTCATAGCTAGAGAGAAGTCAATGCTGGGCTTCCTGGTGCTTACCACAAGCTTTGTTCTTATACTGACTGTATGGATAAAGAAGAGGAAAAATAAACTTACCCCATGAACACTTCAACCCAGGATCTGTGCCTGGTTTGTATTGTGAATAGGAAGACATGGGGTAGGAGTGAGTGGGGGAAGAAGTCAGTGCATGGCTTCGATGCTTCAAAGGACAAGCTGACTCTATTGCTAGGGGCTAATACAGCTGGTGACTTGAAATTGAAGCCAATGCTCATCTACAATTTGTGGCTCGTGGGAGGTCAAAATATCAATTGACAGGAGTTGGGAAGATGTTGATTCCAACCCTTCTGAATGACTCTGAGGTTGGGTTCAAGACTTCAATGGAAGAAGTAACTGCAGATGTAGTAGAAGCATCAAGAGAACCAGAATTAGAAGAGCCTGAATATGTAACGAGTTGCTGTAATCTCATGATAAAACTTTTCAAAGACGAGGAGTTCTAACGGATGAGCAAAGAAAATGGTCTCTTGAGATGCAATCCACTCCTAATGGAGATGCTGTGTACATTGCTGATGTTAACAATAAACCATTTAGAATATTACATAAACTGTTTTGATAAAGCTACAGCAGGGTTTGAGAGAAATAACTCCAATTTTGAAAGAAGTTCTACTGTAGGCAAAATGCTATCAAACAGCTAGCTTTCATGGAAAGCTTTCATGGAAGGAAGAGTCAATCAATGTGGCAAAATGCACTGTTGTCTTATTTTAAGAAACTTCCATAGATGCCCAACCTTCAGCAAAAAACAGCACCCTGACTAGTCAACAGCATCAGCATCAAGGGAAGGTCCTAAGTCAGCAAAAATCTGAAAGCTCAGATGATAGCTGGCATTTGTTAGCAGTCATTTTTTTTTTTGAGGCAGGGTCTTGCTAGGTTGGTCTCAAACTTCTAGGCTCAAGAGATCTTCCTTCCTCAGTCTTTCGACTACTGGGACTACAGTCATGAGTCACTGTGCCCAGACAGTGATAAAGTACTTTTAAACTAAGGTATGTATATTGGGTTTTTTTTAGACATAATGCTCTTATATACTTATCTGACTACAGTATAGTATAAACATAACCCTTTTTGTTGTTGTTGTTTTAAGACAAAGTCTCACTATGTAGCCCAGGCTGGCCTCAAACCTCGATTCTTCAGATCTCAAACTCCCAAACAGCTAAGATTACAGGTGTGAGCCACTGTACCCAGCCCAGGCTGATTCATGATCCTCCTGCCTCAATCTTCTGAGTGCTGAAATTACAAGTGTGATTCACCCTGCCTGGTTCTAAACACAGCTTTTTTGTGCATTGTGTTAGGTGAATGTGATACCCACTACACTATGGAAACCTGGTTTTTATATGCATGGTGAAACCAAGAAAAATGTGTAACTCACTTTATTGTGGTAGTCTGGAAATGAACCTGCAATCTCTTTGAGGTATGTCTAAACTGATATTGGGGAATAAGGCCCTCATTTTAAGAGAAGGGAGATACAAATATGGATGGGGAGGTTAACTGTGAAAAATTCTGTGGGGTCTGATTTAAATTGGAATGCCCTTATGATTCACAACACACATACATGATCTCCTCTTTGAAACTGTCTAGAAGCAACAGCACCCCAATAGAAAGGACATACCTTGAGTTTATATCTTGTTTTCTAAATACTATTATGCACTAAAAGTATTCAAGGCTTTATTGAAGAAACAGCTAATCTAAGATTTGGGTAGAAAATGTGTAAGATGAGCCAAGATATTTTAATTTGCCAGAAAACATGGGGACACATTTAAAAAAAAAAAAAAACATGGGAACAGTCGTGAACTAGTTAAATAAAAAGGAGTAAGTCTGTAAAAATGCCTCAAAAAAGTGAGGGAGTAAGTGAAAGAAGAAATGTAACAAGATCTCTATTTTGTTACTAACTAATAACTGATTTTGACAAGGATCGTCAGAGGATGCTAATGCCAGTCCTTAAAAGGTTGACAGGGAATATCACTCCATTCATAGGCATTGCTCCACAAGTTACTTACTAATACAATACAGGAAAGGTGTCTTTACGATGGAGAGAGGTGGTGGTTACTAATTTATCCAGGAGATCAAATATAGCATCACCAATAATGGTGCAAAATGATATGTGCTTTCTATGGGATGCAATGGAAAACACACATTGTTTCTGTAGTATTCTTGGCAAAAACGTTTAACCTGATTATCATTAAGAGGAAATAATCTGATAATCCAGAACATAGAAATTATCAAGAAAACTGTCCTGAACTCCTAAAATGTCACAAAAACAAAAAAGAATGGGGTCGGGGAACTGTTATAAAGAGATAAAGACTGCAGCCAAATGCAATGCATTGTTGCTGTTGTTTTTACAATGCATAAATCTTGATTGGACACTGGACCACAAAAAAAAAAAAGAGCTATAAAGAATATTTCAGAAACAATTTGGGAAATTTTAAGTGGAGCGTATTTTTCTTCTTTCGCCTTTATTTTTTCCTAAATTCCTTAGGTGTTTGGCTGCATCCATAACTAGTGATTTCTTTTTTTTTTTTTTTGCAGTACTGGGGTTTAAACTCAGAGTCTATACCTTCAGCCAGTCCACCAGCCCTTTTACATTTTTTTTTTTCTTTTTTCCAGTACTGGGGTTTGAACTCAGGGTCTACACCTCAAGCCACTCTACCAGCCCTTTTTTGTGAAGGTTTTTTTTTTTTTTAGATAAGGTCTCAGGAACTATTGCCCAGGCTGGCCTCAAACCTCTATCCTCCTGATCTCTGCCTCCTGAGTAGCTAGGATTACAGGCATGAGCCTGTGATGAATTACTTTAAAAACTTGTATTATGTCTAAGAATACCCTATTCTTAGGAAATAATAAGGGGGAAAGTATATCTTAACTTTAAAATTAACTTTAAAAATTCTTTTATAAAAAGATGCATATAAAAATAAAATTGTACATATTTCCCTCTTTATCACTTATCAATCCCCCCAAAATTTGTCATTTGGTTCTATGACATAAACATATTTCTTCCATTTTTTTTTTCTGTGTGCAGTACTGGGTTTGAACTCAGGGCCTCACACTTGCTAGGCAGGCACTTTACCACTTGAGCCACTCTGCCAGCATATTTCTTCCTTTATGTTATCACATGGAGAAAACTTATTCCAATAACAATGTAAAAAAAGTTTGAACCTCAGTCTCATTTAATCATAAAATTCAAGCTTGAGGAAATGCTAGCCTGGGGTGTTTGGGGATCATGAATCATTTATTTTACTCACCTTTCCCAGGGCAGTCAGAAGATGAAAGTCTATGGACTCTCTGTATCGGAGGATCTGAAGGATTCCATCCAAGTACACCTGATCTTTACTGAAACACCCTGGAGAAATCAGAATAGTGATTACTTTCTTATGTTTAAAAAAACCATTAAGAAATCAGAAACTACTAATCCATCCCCTTTACTGCAAGAATAGTCTTATATTGTAAAAATCTGAATTTGCCAAAATTTATTTTATTACCTTCATGACATAAAATCTGAGGTCTTGCAAGTACCAGCACAGCAGGCAGACTGATACATTTGCTTTAAGAATTCCTTCACCCAAAAGAGTGAAGAAGAGTAATAGAGGGGTGTTAAAGGACCGATTTAAGCACAATATATTTAAAGTTAAAATACCAAGGCAAAATCCTCACTGAAAAAATGAACACACACCTAAGCAATGAAGGAAAGGAATGTAAAACAGGTCATGTTAAGGAGAAGGTACTAATGGGAGGGTAGAGTAAAGGAGAAGAAATATGGTTGATGCACTTTTTTTTTTGGTGGTGGTACTGGGGCTTGAACTCAGGTCCTGGACAGGTGCTCTACCACTTGAGCCAGTCTGCCAGCCCAGTTAACATATTTTGTATACAAGTATGAACGTGGAACATAAACTTGTTGATGGGATTTGGATGGGGAAGGTTGGGGGCAGTTTTAGAGTAGTTAGGTCTCAGCAGGGGCGTATGGAGACACAGGATTTTACAAAGTCCTATTTTCTTTTGTTTTGTTTTTCTTATTATATAATAACATCCCTGCCCCTCCTTAAAAAAGACTATGAAGCTGGGCACTGCGGTGCATACCTATAATCTCAGCTACTTGGAAGGCCGAAGAAGGGGGATCTCAAGTTTAAGACCCCATCTTAAACAAGACAAGGGTTTAAAAAACACTCTAAGTGATTTTGATAGTGCTTTTCCCTATGAAAACAACAATTAGAACTAGATTTTAGAGACTACTTAGGGATTAGGAATAGAAAAACTGCAGATGAAGAAGACATGAAAAGCAGGGACACCTCATGAGAGCTGAGGCTCATTAGAAAAAGACATTCCAATCAAAGAAAACCTTCAGCTCATCCTGACATAACTTGTGTAAGTTTTTAAAAGCTTTGCTCTATACTCACCAAACAAGACTAAAATTGTACCATATAGAGTCATATATTAAGCTATTCATTTTGTTAGGTGTGCTAATAGCATGGCAATCATGAAAACTATTGTTCTCCTCAGAGACACTGACAAATTCATGGACATGATGTTGGAACTGGATTTCAATACTACAGGAAAATGAAAGAACTGACTAACCACAGCTAGAAAAGTCAGAAATTGCTAAGATACAGTAATGTATTAAGGAGGTGTCAGCATGTTAATTGCTCTTGTTTTATATACATTTGAAATTTTCCATAATAAAAGCTAAAAAAAAAAGTATGCAAAGAAAGGGAATAAAAGAGACTAGTCTAAAAGTGACATGCCTCCACAGGATACAAGGGCAATAGGAAAGTCCTGTATGAGGAATGGGAAACAGCAGACATACTGCTCATCAGGAATGCAGCCTGGGTGGCTATCACACACAAAGACAGAGGACAGATGTCCTCCTCTTTCCTGCTTCCTGTCTTGCCTGGTCCTGGCTCTCAGACATCATACTTGTGTGTGTGTGTGTGTGTGTGTGTGTGTGTGTGTGTGTGTGTGTGTGTGTGTGTGTGTGTGTGTGAGACTGAGGTTTGAACTCAAGGCTTCACACATGAAAAGCAGCTCTGGTTATTGTTGGAGATTGGGTTTCTTGAGTTTTTGCCCTGGCTGGTCTTGAACCACTGCTCCTCCCAATCTCAGTCTCCCAAGTAGCTAGGACTACAAGTGTGAGTCACCAGTACTTGGCAAGGGCACCACACTTTCACACAAGTTTACCACTGGCACAAAATGTTGACTTGGGCTACTCTGGTGACAAAACCCTCTCCCCTCCTAAGTATTTCTAAGCTCCAAATAAATAGTTTAAAAATCCTTTTAGAAGAAATTCTTTTTATTTATTGAGCTAATCCAAAGATCAAAATGACTCCTAAACAAACATTGCCTAATTCTTACCCTTTTTTTTCCAAAAGACATTTTTGTATTACCATAAACTTTTCTTCCTATATCTTGTTAAAAACAAAACGCAAATAAAAAAAATTTTGTGGGCAACCTGAAGTCTTATGGGTACTGATAAAAATGCTGTAACTTTTTAATAGAGTGGCACCCTTACTTAGCACTATATCCTGCTTGTAAACATCAACATGCATTGTGACTGGACTCTTTGCCTTGAGTGTCTTTAGGCAAATGATAGAAACAATTATACTAGACATCCCTAATGAAACCAAGAAGCACTGATGGACTCTAAAATCGTTAGGGGAAACTTTGGTAGGGAACAGGATGTTCACGGTCTGTCACCCCATATTCATTAATTAGAGAGGAAGAAGAAAATGGACCTTTAGAAAGGAAAGTGCTCCTTAAGTCATCCTCTGAGGACCAACCTTAGCATCTTTCAGATGCTGAGTGGTGAGACAATCTGTAATTAGCTGGCTCTTGATGAACCCAGCATCTCTTATGCAGACTTCTTGCCAAACATGTTTACTGCATCTAATCTCAGGGAAAGAATCAAAGTCACCCAGAATTCTAGAAGAATACTGCACTGCACTGCAGCAAAAGTCACTATGGCATCATGACAATCACTGCATGTATCATGAAAAATAAAAAGGTGGGGAAGACTGCCCCACAGTAAAAGATGCTAACTGCCAGAAGGAATTTACAAGCACTGATTGGATCCACATGAAAAAGAAAAACTATATGAGACACTATCTGAAACAACCAAACAAAAAGCTATAAAGAACATTTTTGGAACAGTTGGGGAATTTTAAATATGGTGTGTATTTTCATTGATATTGCTGATTTAATGTTAATTTTTTAAAGTATGATAATGATTATGGTAGGTAGCAGACTGTCTTTATTTTTAGGAGATGCATGCTTAAGTTTTTAAGAATGAAATGTCAAATATAAAACTTACATTAAAAAGTCAAAAGGGTAAGCTTCCGGCCTTAGTTCAATCTCCAGTACCAAAAACAAATAAATAAATAAATATCAAAAGGGGTTGCGCATGGCAGCCCATACCTGTAATACTGACTACTGGGGAGGCCAAAACTGGGAGGATCACACTTTGAGGTCAACCTGGGCAAAAAGTTAACAAGACTCCACCTCACCAAATAAGCTCGGCATGATGGTTCAAACCTGTAATTCCAGCTATGTGGGGGACATAGATAGGAGGACTGCAGTCTGATACTGGTCCTAGGCAAAAACCAAGACCCTGTTTGAAAAATAATTAAAGCCAAAAAGGGCTGGGGGCATGCATAGCTCAAGTGGTAGAGTGCCTGCCTAGCAAGCACAGAGTTCTGAGTTCAAACCCCAATACTGGTAAAAAAAAGTCAAAGGGATGGCTAGCTTGTACAAGGACCTGGGTTCAGGGGATGGAGGGGATACTCAATAATAAAAAGATAAATCATCCAATTAAGAAACTGAAAAAAGATCAAAGTAGAGAGTTCTCAAGAATATATACAAGCTGGGTATGATGACACACACTTGTAATCCTAGGACTTGGAAGGTTGAGGCAAAAGGATTATGAATTCAAGGCTAATATGGGCTCTACTCCATAAGGAAAGCCCACCTCAAAAGCTAAAAAAAAAGCTGGGCACCAGTGGCTTACACCTGTAATCTACTACTCAGGAGGCAGAGATCAGGAAGATTGCAGTTCAAAGCCAGCCCTGGGTAAATAGTTTGAGAGACCCTATCTCGAAAAAACCCACCACAAAAAAGGACTAGTAGAGTGGCTCAAGGTATAGGCCCTGAGTTCAAACCCTAATACCGCAACAACAACAACAAAAGAAGATATACAAGTGGTCAATAAGCAAATGAAAAGATACTTAGTTATCACTGATCATCAGGTAAACACAATTCAAAACTACAATGAGGAATCTCTTCCTTTATACCTATCAGTTTATTTTAATAATAATACTGCTAGTTTTAAAGTGAAAATAGTTGAGACAAATAACACAAATGAAAACAGCAAGTATTGGCAAGGATGTGGAGAAAGAGGAACACTCAGACAATGCTGGTAGGAATGTAAAAAGGTGCAACCACTACAGAAAACAGTCCGGCGGTACCTAAAATGATTAAGCATAGAGTTACTGTATTATTCAGCCATCCCACTTCAAGTATACATACAAGAGAAATGAAAGCATGTCTGCACACAAACTTTTGCAGTCATGTTCAGAGCAGCACTATTTGCAATAACCAAAAAGTAGAAATAGACCAAATGCCCACCAATTGGCAAATGGATAAAGAAAGTGTGATCTATGTATGTATTGGAATATTAATTCAGCAATAAAAATGACTGAAATACTGACAAATGCTGTAATACAAATGAATATTGAAAACAACATGCCAATGGGAAAAAGCCAGCCACAAAGCATCAGTTTCCACTAAGATGAAATGTCCCAAACAGGTAAGCTACAGAGACTAAAAGTAAAAACCACTAAAAGTGGATGCTGAAAGGAGAGGGAGAGGAAGAAATGGGAAATGACAGCTAATGAATAAGAGTATCTTTTGGGGGTGATGAAAACATTCTGCAATTAGTAGAGATGGTTGTATAAAATTCTGTAATATTCAAGAAAACCACTGAACTTTACATCTTAAATGGGTAAACTGTATGACATGTGAAGTATTATCTCAATAAAGCTTTTTTTTTTTTTTAAGTCAGAGAAAGTGAAAATGGCAAAGTTAACAATTGGTGAATCTAGATTCAGGGTATATGGGTATTCATTCTTTATTTTTTCCAGACAGAGTTTTACCATGTAGCCAGACTGGTCTGCGGCTCAGGCACGTCTCCACTTGTTTACTATTCTTTCTATATTGTGTTGGTCTGAAAGTTTCAAAATGATCTGGAGGAAAATAATTCTCAGAGAGCTGGGGGTGGTGGCACGTACCTACCTATAATCCCAGTCCTACTGACAATAATAAACAAACAAAAACATTCTGAGAGAGTGTGGTTTGGGAAAACTAGTGTTGACCACAAGTAATAAAGGCTTAATTTTTCATAGGTGAATGAATTTTCAGATTCAGGGATTAGGGTATGATCTGAAAATCAGTATATAACTAGCCAGTGAGTTAGAAACCTACCATTATCAAAGGATACTTACCTGGCTGGGAAGTATCAGTCCATCCCCTCTTGGCTCGTACACAATAATCCCATCTTGTATTGGGGTCCTTGACAAACTTGCCAATGTCTTTGAAGAGTTCGCAAAAGGACATTAGACTGGCTTGATAAACAGTGTAGTAGAGGAGGGCAGCCCTCCAAAGAAAGGGGTCTTTTCTAAACAGGACACTGTGAATACTTGCTAGTCCTTCCTCTGTAGGATTGTTTGGTTTTAGCTCATGTTTTTTACGTCCATTCCAACTGTTCCATGGCTGCTGGAGATTATTAATGCCTCGAAAATAATGTGTGCCTATGAAGAAAAGGCACATGAATAATAAGAAAATGCACTCTTGTTTTAATTCTTCTCCAAGGAAAGTACCACAGTTTGGATCTGGAATGTTTACCAAAGGCCCAAGTGTTAAAGATTTGTTCCTTGTGTGATACTACTGGAAGATGGTAAAAAAATGTCAGAGATGTAGCATAAAGGGTTGGGGTGGAGCTCAGCATTAGAGTATTTGCCTAGCGTGAGCAAGGCCCTGAGTTCAATCCCCAGCACCATAAAAAATTAATTACTTACTAATTTAGCCAGATGAAGGAGTATGCTACCTTCAAAAGGCCCGTTTATATCATCAGAGGAGGTATAACCTTTGTAACTATATTGTTCAAGAGAAGAAATATAGATTTGTTATCTGAAAAGAATTTCAGAGACACTAATTCAACCCTTTCAATTTAAAGTGAGGGACTGAAATCCAAAGGAGTTAAGTGAACTTCCAAGCTTAATACAAATAGACAGTGCCCTAAAAATCTAATTTGAAATAAGATATAAACATACTACCTTTAATCCAAGTGAAGCTGAACAACCTCATGACTTTTTGCTAAATACTACTAAGAAAAAGAAAACATTGTAATGTAGTAAAAGATCATTTCTTTGGGGAACACTTCCTGATACTACAATGAACAAACAGAAAGGGTTGTCCTACCTATTTCATGCCTCAGCATGCCCTCCAGCCAGTGCTCGCGTGCAGTAGAAACATTGATGGTAAGAGTTGGACATCCGTTTACTACTGTCATTGAAGCTCGGGAAAGCAGGTCCTCAGTGAGATGAACTACAATCTAAGGAGCAGGAGGAAACACACACACAAATAAAACAAAATGTATAGGCAGGGGGAAACCTTTCACATAAAACAATGAGGCAATAATTTAATACTTTTCTTGTTGTTGTTTAAAACTATCTTGAGTTCCCAGAAAACAAGATGGTGAAGCTGGGCACTGGTGGCTCATGCTTGTAATCTCAGCTACTTGAGCGGTTGAGATTGGGAGGATCATGGTTCAAAGCAAAAAGACTTCATCTCAATCAATAGCTGGGTGGTAGTGTGTGCCTGTCCTCTCAAGCTATGTGGAAGGCTGAGATCAGGAGGATTGTTGTTCCACTACAGTGAGGTGGAAAAAAGTAAGGCACGGTGGTACGTGCCTGTCATGCCTGTTATGTTGGGAAGTGTAAAATGGAGGATCACAGTCCAGGTGGACTTACAAAAAACAAGAACTTATATCCAAAATAACCAGAGTAAAAAGAGGTGGAGTTGTGGCTCAAGTGGTAGAGCACCTGCCTGGCAAGCATGAAAGCTCTGAGTTCAAACCTCAGTATCGTTAAAAAAGAAAAGAGGAGGGGAAGGAGAAAGAGGGGAGGGGAGGGGGAAGGAGAAAGATGGGAGGGGAGGGAGGGAGGAAAGGAGAAAGGAAGGAAGGTAGGTGAAATGCACATTTAGTTACCTTTGAACCTTCTAATTTTTAAATTTTTTGGTGGTACTGGTGTTTGATCTCTCAGGGCCTTACACTTGCTAGGCAGGCACTCTACCACTTGAGCCACTCCACCAGTCCGAGCTTTCTTTAGTCACTTTTCTTTTTTTGGTGAAACTGGGGTTTTAACTCAGGGCTTCAGGCTTGCAAAGCAGGCGCTCTACCAGTTAGCTACACCTCCAGTCCTGAACCTTCTAATTGTGACCTTTTGGAAATTCACGGACTTTTTATTGGATTGAAGACAAAGTAGATGGGTCTGCTGAGGAAGACAGAGAACTTTGTATTGCAGCCCTGGGGTCTCTCAAATATAGTTTCTAGCTATAATTAGCTGTAATGAAGCAAAAGAAGGTGCAAGGTACAAGAATGGAATCCTGCTCCTTGCTGGTCTAAAGCTCTGGGACTGACCGTTAAGAACAGACTACTAACAAGGAGAAGAATCTCTTCATTAACCATTTTCTTTTCCTTTTTATTTATTTATTTTTTGACATAGGATCTTACAAGGCTGACCTTGAACTTGAACTTGATATCCTCCTGCCTCACCTCCCAAGGGCTGGGATTACAGATGCATACCACCACACCTGGCTTCATTAATGATTTTGGTAAAGTAATTCACACAATTCCACAAGCTATATGGGAATGGCATTAAGACAAGAGAAATGGGAAAAAACCAAACACATTACAATAATTCAAGTACACAAAGAACTTAGGTATTTTGCAAGAAATCTGGTGATTAATTTTTGAGTAAATAGGCTTAGGGAAACAGAACCTGCAGGAGAAAACCATGCATGTGGCACTGACTGAAGATGAGAATGCCATAGCCAGTGCCCTGTGTTCACTCATGATTCTCACCTCTCCCAGGCAGCCTTCCTTTACCATGTACTTCCTAACATGACTCCAGATTCGAGGTTTGGATAACAAGCTACCACCAGTTGCTTGTTCAAATTTTTCGTAACTTCCATATTTCTGTAAAGTTAGCTCCATAATATTGATGGACTGTTAGAGAAAAAGAGATAAAGTAAACAGCTTCATGTTACTGTGAGATGAGTAATAAGCTAAACCATGACATTATTTATCAAGATTTGTTCTAATATTGATAACCAAATTAAACTGCAACCTAGATACCACATTTTTCTAAGCTTAAACAGTTTCCACTCACTTTCACCAATCTGTACAAATGTCTATACACTTAGAATTACTCTTTCTCTGTGTTTGCCCCTCAACATAGAGAAAGAGGGGCTCAAGTGCTGCATACAGTGCTGACATGTGACAGGTGAGAAGGTGGGCAGACAGGCTGCTGGCTTCTCTCTAAGATAATTTGGTGGTTTAGCTGAAAAACTCAAGAGTAACAGGTCTATCCCCACACTAGTCACTAGATTACAATTACTATTTGAGAGCTTGTTTGGAGGTTCTAGCAGGGGAGCGCAGCTACTCGTATACCCTTGACCGAAGAATGGTCCTCCTCTATCGGGGATGGTCGTCCTCTTCGATGGAGTGCGCAGCTTCGGGAGGGACGCACATGGAGCAGTGAGGGAGGAAGGGGACACACATCTAGCCAGCCAGATCAGCCGAATCAACCCTGGCGATCAATAGGGTGACAGATGTCGCAGCCAGATTGCCCTCATAGCCTACAATTACTATTTGAATAAAGAAAAAAACCTTCAAAATTTTAAGAACATAAAGAAGAATCAACGTGCCTTCTCTGTCAATCTGAAAAAGCCACAGTTTTACCGGGCTACTCTTTGGCAGAAAACGGTCTCAACATTAATAAGAACACTTTTATCTTTCACCTGGGGCAGGGTGCTACTACTACCACTTTTCATTCTGAATTAACTTTCACAACAAAGGAATATGAAAGTTGAGATATTTTTCTACAAACACACATATGCAGAATGGAAGACTAAAAAAATTTGGTAACAAATACAAATCATCAGTATCAATGGGAAAGCCAGAAAGAAAGGAAAACATAAGGAAGAAGAAAACTGCTCTTTAAAGGCCTTTTGGGAAACAAACTAGAAAATTCAAATATATCTTATGTGAATTGTGAAAGAACCAGAAGATTCATATGCATGTTACATAAAGTCTGTAGTTTCTGGACTGCTGTCAGACTCGTAACGAAATTAAAGGTACAAGCTCTAGAACTGGACTACCTGAGCTGACATCCTGCTCTCTCACCTTCTAGCTGTGTTTACCACAGGCTGATCACTATAGGTGTGACTCTGTCTCCTCATTTGTGAATGAGGATAACAATAATAATATCTACTTCATGACTGAGAAAATTTAGTCAACAAAGCACAGCATCTGGGGCATAAAAAAGTCAATACGTATTAACTATTTTATCATCATTGATCTGCCACAGTGCCCCGATCTTAAACTTCCTAGCCCTCAGAACTATGGGGAATAAATCTGTTTATAAATTACCCAGTTTATGGTATTTTGTTACAGCAGTCCAAACAGATTATTTCCTGGATAACAGTTTACCTTAACATTCCTTAAAACATTAGTTTCCAACTTTTGTTTTTAGCATTGAACTTTTTTTAGACCAAATCTTAAAGAAGTCCATCTTAAGTTTCTTCAGTCTGTTGGGAAAGACTTCAGTGTTTGTGAAAACACTAAAAACATGTCTTCAGCCCAACATAAGCCCTGAATAAGGTGCTTCTTTTTCTTTTTTTGCTGTACTGGGATTTGAACTCAGAGCCTACACCTTGAGCCACTCCACCAGCCCTCTTTTTGTGATGGTTTTTTCCAGATAGGGTCTTGTGCACTATTTGCCCAAGTTAGCTTTGAACCATGATTCTCCTGAGTTGCTAGGATTACAGACGTGAGCCACCAGCCCCCAGCAATAAGGTGCTTCTTAAACACAGATGCGTAATAGGAACAAGAAGACAACATAAGCCCTATGAAGACAAGGAAGTGGGTAGGAGTTACCTTGAAAACTCCAATGAAGAAGATACCTCTGAAAGAGCATCATATGACGATCACATATGAACAGTTTTATTTGGTTCAACGTAATGCAAGCTATAGGAAACTCTAAAATTTTAGAAAGTACAAGTTTTTCTTCACAAATTAATGAAGCCAATGATAAATGTCGAAAATTCCCAGGAAAAGGGGAAAATGTTGAAAATTAGGATACACATGGAATACAGACAACTAACATTAAATTTATTACTGTAATTTATTTATTTATTTATTGTAGTACTACAGTTTGAATTCAGAGTCTTGTACTTTCCAGGTAGGCACTCTACCACTGTGATCACACTTTCCAGCCCTAAATCTAAAGACTTGAGTAAACTGATCACATGACCACCAGGAAACGAGAATGGCTGGAAAGGGGTATGACTGCAATGCACATCCAAAGCAGTGAGTTTTACCATCTGCACATAAGTGAAACTATTCTCCAAAGTTCTATTATCTTCTAGGTAAGTTAATAAGAAGAAACCACTCAGAGACATATCAAGATGCCAGAAACAATCCAGGGAGGGGTGTGGTGATGTGCCCTGTAAATCCCATCACTCAGGAAGCTGAAGCAGGAGGATCAGGAGTTCAAGGTCAGGCCAGCCTGGGCTACATAAAAAGACCTTGTCTCAAAAAAGAAAGAAACAATCTTCCCTGCGCAGTTCATAAAGGACCACAACGATCACATTAATGATTCCATTTATATCAAATGTCCAGAGTAAGTAAATACATAGAAAGAGAAAGTAGACTGTATTTGTCTAGGGCTGGCAGGCTGGTGAAAATGGGGAGTGATTGCTAATAAGTAGAGAACTAATTCTGGAATTAGACAGTGGTGATTGTTATATAACTAAATGTTATGTACAAAATGTTCCCCATAGGCTCATGAACAGAAGCATTGGTCTACATGGTGTGCTATGTTGGGAAGTTTTAGAAACTAGTTGGTGGGGTCTAGCTGGAGGGAGTAGGTCACTGTATATGGACTGTCCATGTCCTTGGAGCTATATCTTGCCCTATGCCCTTCCTGTCTCTTTTCTGCTTCCTGGCTACCATGCCCTTCTACCATGTTCTTCTGCCTCACCACAGCCCAGAAACAATGCAGTCAGCTGATCATGGACTGAAACCTCTGAAACCACCAGCCAAAATAAATCTTTCCTCCTTAAGTTGATTCTTTCAGGTATTTGTCTCAATAACAAAAATACTAACACACTAAACATATTAAAAGTCATTGAACTGAACTCTTTAAATGGTTGAAGTATATGGCATGAGAATTTTATCTTACGAAAGCTATTGTAAAAAAAAGAGTAATCAAATAATGTATTTCAACTATTAATCCATAAAATGAAAATTTTCTCTACATAAAATGT